AAAAACAATTTCATAAATATAAGATCTAATCTTTTTGCGATACAATTTGTGCAAAATGTGGTCCAGTAACCGAGATCCACCGCCTCTATCTTGAAAACAGAAATGAAGTTCAAAATTTGTTTGGCATTTAGAGGGCAAAAAAAAACCTCTTGACGGTCTTCTACTTACGCAAACATGAAGATGGGCGAGGCATCCTGTGTCACAAAACCGAACCAGGGCATAGGTAATTGGGGTAAGTTGTTGCTAGCACAATGGCACAATATAGGCGGTGAAAGTCAAACAGGGTTTCACAAGTATTGCCACTTGATGCAATATCCTAATGAAAAGAAATAAATAGTACTCCAGCTCTATCGTGGGGGGAAATTGAATCCATGCGTCGCAAGAATATGTCAACAATTTAATAGTTTTAATCAGACGCCCAAAAATTTGATGCTTTATCTGACAATAATTGCAAAGCGTTATAAATGAGTACAACCAAAACCGTTTGAAGAGCTCGACATTGAATTAGGCTGAATTCATGTGTTCCAAGAGGAAGAGAAGTGATTGAGCCGAAGGCAAGCCCACAACTGCAAAGCCAATATGGACGCCAGATATCATATGCTTCTACAAACAACGCATTACAGCACGTGAACTTCATGTTAAGCCATCTTATGAAGAGCAATCAAAAGCACCTGCCCAAAATTAAGCGATTAGATAGGATACCGACAAAATAACCAGCGTTGTCATGTTTGCCTCTAAAAACACCGAACAAAACTCAAAGTTTAAGACAACCATGCGAGGCTTACTGATTGTTTTCAGATTTTATGGAGACAAAATATATACCATTTACTTATAATTGCTTAGTCATTCAAATAATTTTGTTTATATAATCGTTTCACCCTCCCGACTGATTCGAACTTTGTCGTCTGTCGTTTTCTAGGATGAAATTCAATTTTAAGGAATCGCGGTCCTTTGGTTCGTTGGAATAACGTCTGCTTCATTGTTTTTAGATGAACGTCTTAATGACGCTACGAAAATCAAGCAGAAATATCCGGATAGAATTCCTGTAGGTTTTTTTCTTTCATCCGGTTTGCATGAGCAAATCAGCCTATTTCAGCGAATATCGTTTTCCTCTAAAATAACGTGGGTTTTATGATTTTTTGAGCCATTTGATGCTGTAACAAGTGTTTTTTTGTCACGTGGGACTCACAACTACACGATAAGTCAACCTCTTATGCTCTGTTCCTTGTGTAAATAGGTAATAGTTGAGCGTCATCCTGGATCCCAGATAAATGATTTGGATAAGCACAAATTTCTTGTGCCCAATGACATCACCGTTGCTCAGTTTATGTGGATTATTAGGAAGCGACTCCAGCTCTCCCCGGAAAAAGCACTATTCCTCTTCTTCGACGACTACGTTCCGCAAACAAGGTGATTCTTTATAAGGTGTTATTCATTTTCTCTTAGGAATGATAGATATCTTCGTTTTGCACTTTTTTCTATTTCTGTTTGCGGGTATCACGTGATGTAGTTTCTGACCTTCGGGGGCGGTGGTACACAAACTGACCTGTTTGATACATAAAATTAGGAGTAACTGCTTCAATCCTGACATAATTAAACCCTTGATTTGTTCGCGAGCTTGTTGCCTCTCTCATTGAATCGTCACTTG